TATCCCGAGTTAAAGACGTTAACGAGCCTTCTAAGATTAAGAACAAACGGCATGATGAATTTGCTTAAGAAACTGACAACACAGGGGTAATCTTTACATTGTGATATGTAAGCACCCTAATCAAATTTAGTTGTCGAGGAGGCATATGAAGAGAAACCCGTCCTTTCTCGACATCTGTCCTATGTGGAAGAACATAACAGATATCGATTCCTCTCCTTGTCAGCGACTGTTTTGCTCCATTTGCCCTTCCAACCCAAGGTTTAGGAGGGAAAGCCGACCTTAATCTAATGAATTAATTGCAGGATAGTGCGGCTCTTTCTTCTAGGCTCCAGAAAGCTTGACTGATCAAATAACAGAAGTTAGATTAAAAAAGTATTCAATACCTTATCGTCAGTTATGTGGCGGATTAGTTAAAAAATTGTGTAACTCTTCTTCGTTATTCTTTTCATACTGCCGTATACTGGCGTGATTTACTCAAGGAATCTGATCCTAGAAGCATTTTCTTTTAAAGAAAAATGAAGAAATATTCGAAAAATATTTGGAGCTTTGGGAACTTGAGAAATGCCTTGTTTATAAGTCAGTTCTTTATAGTCCCTTGCAAATACATTTATGGCCAGACACCTTCACCTTTCTTGAAATTATTATTATGAATCCTGACTGCTGTTCTTCTTTTTCCCTCTCATCTTCTTTTTCCTTTCTTCTTTTCTCCTCCTGAAAGTTGAAGACACCGCGGTAGATATCAGGAAGTACTACAACGCAGGAGGACACGCCTGCTTCAAATCAGTTCAACGCGCTACACAGCGGTAAAGCTCTTTTTTCTGTTGTTATTTCGAGTTACCGAGGGCAAGGTTATTTTAAAATATCCGCAAGGAAAACGAAAACTGGTTCGAGTTATTGAGAGGCTTGAGATATCGAGTATAAAATAATAATAACTATTTGGCGGAGTTCTTCGGCAAATCCGTTTTGGTTTGAGTAGGCCTGAGCTAGGTTTGAGTCATAGGGGGGCCTTCTATTAACTGCTAACTTGGATACAGTACTTACTTGGGAATTCCGTCTCAGGGAAATCCTCTGAATAACGGTTGATAAACGATCGTATCGGGTCTTTGTTTCCCATCTTTGCTGTTGGCAAGTCTAGTTTTTTGGCTATGGACAGTCCTTCAAGCATCATTTTTTTCGCTTTATCCTTGTTTCCTATCTCGTCATGTAAGATGGCCCATGTAGTCTTGATTAAGACCTTCCATTCGTGATTCTCTTCCAATTCTCTCTCGGCAACTTGTTCTGCCTTTCTGAATAAAGTCATTGCCTCATCAACGTTTTTTATTTTCTGGTGACAAGCTGCGCAGTTCTTCAAAGTCAGGATGCTTTCTTTGCTTCCCCCCTCGACGAGATCGTCGAACATTTCTATGGCTGCGTTATAATACTTGAGGCAAAACTTTAAGTCATCTTCCTCTTTTGTTTCTCCACCGAGAAACAAACGAAGGTCTGCAATGGCCTTCAGGGCTTCGGCTGTCATAAAATGTTTACCAAGGCACCGTTCGAAGAGTTCTAACGCCTTTGCAAGCTGTTTTGTAGCTGTATCACGCTCCTTACGGCGCTTGGCAATGATTCCTGAAAGAAGAAGAGTTGCTGCTGTTTCCGGATGAAGTTCACCCAGACTTGCACTGCTGACACGTAGAGCTGATTGAGTCTCTTGGTCAATTCTTTGGTTTTCTTTAGGATCTTTTTTATCGGAAAGGAAGCGTGCGTAACTGTTGTGAAAGTAAACCTCTGATAACGGATTTCCTTTAAACTTCGCAGCATTCAGGCGATAAATTTCTTCCGCTCTCTCCATAAGTACGTTGTACTTCTTTTGGTCTTTCTTCCTATATTCATGTCCAAGAAGGCACGAAAGTTCTACAACACGCATTGGCTGAACAGTTGGGTCAAATGTGTCCAGTAACTGTTCAAGGAACTGTGCATAATTCTTTGGATGAAGACACCTTTCCAAATACATACACTTCTGTGGAAAACTCTCCAAAAGAGTTTGAGAGCGTTCCATAATCTCTACATCCTTTTCCTCCCTTCCTTGGGCATAAATACGAAGAAAATGTTCGAAATTGTTTCTGTCCTTGTTGAATGAAAAGAGGGATTCTTTGCAACTGTCTCTTTTCCAGTACAATTCGGCGTTGTTCACAAGGCGAGACATGTAATAAACACAAGCCAATTTTTCTGCTTTAACTAAAAGATCGACATACTTGGCTTGACCAATCTTCCTTGCATACAAGTGAATGAGTGGATGCATTTGATACCTCTGGTAACTTGGTTGCTCGATTAGCGAACTCTTTTTCAAGGAACGAATAATCTTGATGGGCTGAATTCCAGGAACTGAGCACGCTTTCATTACAGCCTCGGCAGCACCTGAGTCAAAAGACCCCTGGAAAGTTGACATTAGAACGAGGGCTTCTTGTCCAGCTTCAGTCAATAGATCAAAACAGGTCTTGATGGCCTTTTCTACAGATCCTTCACCGTCTTCTAGTACAGCAAGTGGTTCTTCCTCCAGTTTTTTAATAAGAGTTTCTT